ATAATCAATAAATTAGTAAGTTAATAAATTAGCTGGGTCAGAGGAAGAGGGAGTGGCATCTCTTGTCTACTCCTACCCACCCTTTTGTCCCTACTCTTCCTGGCTCCTTTATCTCCCAGCTCTCACCATTCATCCATTCTTTCATTTCTTCTCCAATTTTTTGAGCACCTGCTGTGTGTCAGAAACTGTTCTAGGAGTTGAAGAGAAGGGAGATGACAAATTAGTCAAGGTCTGTGCCTTCCTCAAGTTTACATGCTAATGAGGGAGGGCAGGCTGCATACAAGTAAACAAATACACAAACAGGATGGTTTCACATGGAGAAGAGGGCTGAGAAGGCAGGTGTGATAGTCAGAGTCCTTAACAACCCTTATCGCACATCCTCAATCAGTCACGAGTGAGTGGGTCACAATGCAGGAGAAGAGTCCTGGAGACTCTGCCGTGCCTGGCAATAATCCCTTAGTTGCTGGATCATGGTGAAGTGTGTTTGTGGGGGTGTGGTTTCCAGGGGAAAAGGAATGGTCCGCCTCTTGGGGGCTTTGAGGACGTGGCTATTTACAAACCAGCACAGAAATACGTCATTATTCTAACAACCAGTAACTCTGCACTGGTGCTAACAATTTCATATCAGCTCTGGGGTCGTGGTGACTGACAGTGGGCAGAGGATGCAAGGGGAGGCTACTATAGACGGTAACATTGGAAAAGGCCTCTCAGGAGAGGTGACATTTTGGCTAAGACCTGAATGACAAGAAAGAGAACCTCAAGGAGCAGTCAGGGAGCAGGTGAGGGGATGGGAAGAACATTCTAGCCAAAGAACAGCAAAAGCAAAAATGGTGAGATGCAATAAACTTGACATGTTTTCAGAGTGATAAGAAGGCTGATGTTGCTGGAACATTATGCTGAGTGAATGATAAGAAATTAGGTCAGATGATAGGCACAGGCCAGATGTTGTGGGGCCTTTTAGGCCATGATAAGAAAGTAAAATGAGAAGCCATGAGAAGGAGGACTTTAAGTGGAGAAATGATATGATCTGATTTACAATTTTTAAAAGATTCCCCTGACTGAAATGAGGAGAATGAATTGGGGGTTTAAGGAGAGAGTCGTGAAGAGGTTGTTTGAACCTAGAGACAATGGTCGCCTGGATCAGAGTGATGCAGCAGAAATGGAGAGAAGTGGGCTGATTCAAGTTTATTTGGACGTTGTGATGATTTTAAGGATATGTCCACGTATTCTTTGATATGCCTCCCCTCAAGAGGTGCAGCTTAAATTCTTTCCCCTTGAATGTGGGCTGGAGGTAGTCATTTGCTTCTAGCAAGGAGAACATGGCAGAGGTTAGGGGATGTCACTTCTGAAGTTAGGTTATTAAAAGATGGTGGCTTCCATTTTGGGGGCAGGCTCTCTTGCTCTATTGGATTCCTCACCCTGAGGGAAGCCAGCTACCTTGTTATGCTGTACCTCTGTGTAGAGGCCCATGTGACAAGGGACTGAAACCTGCCAAGAACCTTGTGAGTGATCTTGGAAGTTGATCTCACCTCCACCAACCACCCCTCCACCCCCCACAGTTGAGTCTTCAGATGAGACTACCGCAGTATTAGTCAGGGTTCTCTAGACAAACAGAACCAATAGTATAGATAGATAGATAGAGAGAGAGAGAGAGAGAGAGAGAGAGAGGGATGGATGGATGGATGGATGGATGGATGGATGGATGGATGGATGGATAGATAGATAGATAGATAGATAGATAGATAGATGGTAGCAATAGCAATAGAGATAGAGAGATATAAGATTTATTATGGGAATTGAGTCACATGATTATGGAGGCTGAGATATGCCATAATATGCTCTCTGCAAGCTGGAGACCCAGGAAAGCTTGTGGTATAATTCAGTCCAGTCTGAAGACCCGAGAAATGAGGGGGGCACTGGCATAATTCTCAGAGTTGGAAGGTCCGAGAACCAGAAGCTTTGATATCCAAGGGCAGGAGAAGATGGATGTCCCACCCCAGTAAAGAGAGCGAGAATTCATCCTCCCTCCACCATTTGTTCTATGCCCTCAAGGAATTGGGTGATGCCTGCCTACACTGATGAAGGTTGAGCCCACAGATTCAAATGCTAATCTCTTCTGGAAACACTTTCACACACACACCCAGAAATGATGTTTTCCCCGCTATCTGAGCATCCCTTAGTCCAATCAAGTTGACATATAAAATTAACCATCACAACAACTCTGGCTGATGGCTCAGCTGCCAGCTCATCAGAGACCTTGAGCCAAAGGTATCCAGGTATGTCACATCTAGATTGCTGACACACAGAAATTATGAAATAATAAACGCATGCTGTTTTTAACTGCTAGGTTTTGATGTAATTTTTTGTACAGCAATAGACAATTAATACTGAAGTAGAGCCTGTGGGACAAGGAAGTGTGAGAGAAATGGATGGATGAACAAAGATGTCTAAGTTTCGAGTTTGAGCAACTGGCTGGTAGTGGTGCCATTTACTGAAGTGTGGAGAGCTTGGAGGGCATAACATGTTATGGTGGGGAAATCAAGAGTTCTGCTTTGGACACATTTTGAAGAGACTATTAGACATCCCAAAGGGAGTGTCAACTAGGCCACCAGTCAGTGAGCACAAAGTGAGTGCTCACCAGCTAACCAGTCCTTAAATGTCCTATAAGGGACCACTCTTTGCCAGGCTGTTTTCTATGCCCTGGCATCATAGTGGGGAAAAAGACAAAACCCCTGACCTCAAGGAGCTTACATTTCATTAGGCAGCAACAGACCACAAATGTATAAATAAATTAACAAGATGATTTCAGAAACAATGGGTAATGAAAAAAATGGGATAAGGTCAAAAGGTTGCTGGAGGTGGGTGTGCTACTTTAGCTAGAGAGATCAAGGATGATTTTTCAGAGACACAGTAAGAAGCTTGAGCTAGGTGTGTACAGTGGAAACACCAGCATACTGGTAGTATTTAAATCCACTGGAATTGATGGGATCTCCTTGAGGGAGAATGTAGAAAGAGGAGATATCTCAGAACTAGTCCCAGGGCTTCGTCATTTAGAGGTCAGTGACAGGAGGACCCTGCAAAGAAGTCCAAGAAGGTAGGAGAAAAACTGGGAGAGGGTGGGATCACAGATCCCAAGAGAGGAAAGTATTTGAAAAGAAGGGAGTGGTGATCTAAGCCCAATGTGGTTACAAGTTACGTACGATTACGACGGAGAAATAATAGCTGGATCTGATAACATGGATGTTATGGATGGTTTAATAACAGCAAATGCCACAGTTGAGTAAAAGGAACACAAGCTGTATTAGAACAGGTTAAGTAGAGAATGGGAGATTGGAGATATTCCCTAAAGTGAGGTGCTGAGCCAAACAATCATTTTCTTATGCTCATAAACAGGGAGTAAGAAATTTGGGAAAGGCTCAGCAGGTGGATACTTCTGCTCCACATTGTGTCCAACTGGGGTGCCTCAGCGGTATTCACTTGGTGGCTGGACTAGTCTGGAGTGTCCAAGAGGGTTGCTCTCATATGTCTGCTGCCTGGGTGGAGGTGGCTAGAAGGCTGGCCTTAGCTGGCCACTTCCCTTCTTCTTGTTGTCAGGGACTTTCTCATGGATGCTCCAGTGGGGTGGTCAGATTTATTATGCAGAAGCTCAAGGTTTAAGAGCAAGTGTTCCAAGTGATAGGAGGTGGAAGTTACTGGTCTCTAAGTCTGTGCCTGCAACTTTGAATAGCATGACTGTATTTTACGAATGAAGGTATTCACAGAGTCAGTGCCAACTTGAAGGGAGGGGTCCTGTGCCCCACTGCTCAATGGGAGGAGTGTCAAAGAATTTGTGGCCATTACTAATCCGTTACAAGAGGTGATAAAATGGAAGCAGCAACTGTTGACAAGTCTTGAAGAGATTTTATTTGTTGTACAGGAGGAGCAGAGAAAGAAGGCAGTTGTTAGAATGTGGGATTAAAGAGCATTTTCCCAAGAAAACTATAAGAGACCCTAAAGCATGTTGGTATCCGATGGCAATATTTCAGAAAAGAGAGAATGATGCATGTTTGTAGGAGAAACAAGGTGTAACTGGGACCAAAATCCATGAAAAGGAAAGAGATCCAGAGCAAAGGGAGGGGCTGGCCTTTAGTGAAGCAGGAAATACTTCATCCACCGCATCAGGAGAGAAGCGAGAGGTGGGTGTACAGAGGCATCTGGTTTCAGTTTTGCTCGGAAGTCCCCTTATCAGTGAGGCCTTCCCTGACTCCCTTTCCTTTAGTGGCACCTCAGTACTGCCTATCTCCCTTCCCTGCTGCTTCTTCTCCAAAGAAAATGTGTGCCCCCGTATGCATATGTGCATTATCCACAGCAGGATGTATGCAGTAGTGATACATTTTACTGAGTTCTGGCGCATAGCTGGTACTGAAAACACGTCAGCGAGTGCCTGAATTGAGTGAACCCCCGAGTGATGTACTGCACTGATGAGCTGTGAGGTCAGGAGTGGCGCTCAGAGAAGGAGATGCTTGAAATCCAGACGCTTGAAGGTGACACACAGTGGAGCTTGGTGAGAATGAAGTTTGACTTGAGGAGTTCCAAGCACAGCCCTCCCTTCCCTCCCTGCCTCTTCTGGCTGAGTCACGGTGATCAAGTTACTGACCCTCTCTGAGCCACAAGGTTTAGGACTCTTGGCACAAAGCGAGCGCTCATCAAAGCTGGGCTCTCCATTCACACGGCTCTCCACTTCCTCCAACTTGCTTGCTTGCTCCTTCTTGCCCGGTCTCGGCAGCTGTTCTCGGCCTCCTATCCTTAAAGCCTCGGGGAGCACGCAGCCCCAGCCTTGGGCGCTGCCCGGGAGCCCGCGCTGTCCTGGCGCCGGGCCGGGGGTGAGCGGCGGCCCCGGGGGGCGGGGCGGGGCGGGGCGGGCCAACCCCGGGCGCAGGAACGCGGCTCCGGCGGCAGGCAGGCAGGGTCTCCGGGCCGTCGGTGCGTCCGTCCATCCACCCTTCCGTCTGTCCCAGGCCATGGCGAAGCTGTTAGTGCTCACGCTCTTGGGGCTTGGACTGGCGCTCTTCAGGGACCACAGGTCTTCTTACCAGTAAGTCGGATTGTGGTGAGGGCTGCAGCCCTGTCGTCCTCACCTCCGCCAGGCCCGGGGGCACCCCCGACAGTGAGGTCCAGGCTCTTAGCAAGTCCACAGGCAAGTGCTGGAAGCACATCTTGCAGGGGGTTCGTAAATGTTTGTCCAACTTGCGTGTGCCACTTGAAAGCATATCCTTGCTCACGGTCTGAGAGATGGGACAAGGAGACAACTGTCAGTGGTTGCATACCACTGACCAGTGAGTGGCCAAGTTGTTGCAGACACAAATTAATTTTTCATGACGAGCCGTATGCCTTGACTACAGATTCACTTCTCAACCTCGCTTCAGAACAGGTATCCAGACTGGGGGTTCCCCTGATGTTGTGTGAATTAGGGAAAGGAGCCTCCCTCTCCCCCGCGTCCCCCCCCCGCCCCCCCCGGCTGCCTAACCATGGCACAAAACTTCTTGGCTTGGAGATTCTCAATTTGAGGCCACACGGAGAGAGACAGAAAACTGGCGTGTGGAGCGGAGCAGGTGGGAGCGAATGCGCGTTCCACTGGGGGCCGGCCAGAGAGGATGGGGAGAGAACCCAGGTGCTGGCATTTGGTGTCCTGGGTTCTGGCTCTGCCTCTTCCGTTGCCGGGTCTTGGGCAAATCCCTTTAATCTCTAACGTTCGCTGCTTCAGTAAACCTGAGACGGTAAAATACACTCATATACGCAGCAACTAACACCTTGCCTGGGACATAGGAACTGTTTGATAAATGTTAGTGCCCTGCTTCCCTTAAAGTATTTGATAAACCCCGTTAGATACTATACAAGGGGGAAACAGTTTTAAAGAATGCATCAGTAGTTTCGTGGTAACTTTTACAGGGGTTCAAAGTCTAGAGATCATTATAATTCCTAAGTTTTAGTCAATAGTATCTTATTATTTACTTTGAAGTAAAACATTACTAAAAATCAAATTGAACATTTTGGATTTTTTAAAAAAATTATGTGACCCTGTGAACTGATTAGAAGCTTATGTTAAGAATAGGTTTTTTATAAGCTTTTTTAAAAATGTTGTTACAATTTGGGGTTTTAAATAATGTAAAAATTACAATTTGTGAGTTTTCATTAATCATGGTATTATTCGCTGCCAAAGGAGTGCACATAATTTTGCCACAGCATATGTGTGGATTGTGATACTACCCTGGGATGAAAAGAAAAGAGATGACATGATCATCTAACAAGCCCCTCTAGGCTCTCTCCTTTCAATTCTCCATTTCCATCCACACCTGGGTTTGTTCTGCCCACACTCTCCCAGTTGCCCCACATGAAATGTCTTCCAAAGGGTAACATCTGCCAGGAAGGAGTGAGACTCTATCTTTCCAATTTACCTTCCTTAATTTGCCTAAGAATGGAGACTGGGGGCATCTTGTATATGTTTACATGTAAAAGTATCGCCTCACCACCCCCACCCTACAAAGTTTCTCTTTTATCACAAGGTCTTAGCTTATTTCATTAAACATTAATATTTCCCCAAGTTCCTTGAAACATGAGTCTCAAGACTTGCTCCACAAAAAAAATGGGTTCCTTGGACAAATAAATTTGGGAAACGTCTGTTATAAGCTTCTAGAGGTTGATAGTGCTCTCTGTCATACTGAAAACTTTGAGAAGTCCTTCAGTAAAAGAAAGCATTTTGCTTTATTTAGTCATCATTTCACAGACTTATTTGCCCATAGCCTCCACTCCGTTTTTGATACCATCTATGAACATCCTGTATAACTCTCTGGGATACAGTTTGAGACGGGTATAGAATGGTATAGAATGGTATAGAATGGTATAGAATGGTATAGAATACTATACCATTGACTTCCACCAAAACTTAGATTTCAACCTGAAAATGTTAGGTCCTGGCCTTGGGCTGCAGGGGAAGCTCATATACAGAAACAAAGTTGTCAAGGGCAAATGGTTTCTGGGCCCCAAGCCTGATTCTGATTTTCCTGAGAAGGCAAAGCGCACTATGATCATAGCTGAACACGCTGTCAGTCTCTGTGAGTCCCTTTGTTGGCACTGCCTGTGGCTTCCCTGTGTAGACAGGGCGTCTGCAGGAGACACTTTGCCATGGGCTGCTGCAGTGGGAAGACCTTGGATTCTGGTTTGTGAGTAAGAATTTACTGTTTTACTTTCAACACCTGAATCCAGCGAGTGGAGAGGGAGCCTCAGTCCTCAAGCTTCCGACTGTAACCGGATGACTGAGAAGGGAAAAGGAAAGTGGGAGTGGGATGGACCTCTGGTCTTAGAATGCAGAGAGCGCTAGAAGAGCCGCAGGACAAATAGGAGCAATGCAGGGCTGAAAGGATGGTGGTTATGGAGATGGAGGATGGGAGCAGAGCTCTCATCTCCCCTATCAATGCAACCAATACCATCTTCTCGATTTGATGCACCAGCCTAGTAATTTCATGAAACAATTCAGCCGACGTCTACCAAACACCTTCTCTCTGCAAGCGCTGTTTTCATGCTGGAAGTCACAGGGATAAATAGCACACAATATTCACTCACCGATTTCAGAGTTGACTGTGAGCACCAAATCGAAAACTGGTAACCGTAAAACAACATGGTAAGAGACTTGGTAAATGAACATGTGAAAGTTCATGAGGGTAAAGGAAGGAGTTATTAATCCTGTCACAGAAGATCAGGAGGAGCTGCAGCACGTCAAGAGTAGGAGTCTTCCCGATGGGTTAGGAGGTAAAGGGCGTTCTAGGCAGAGGGAAAAGCATGAGAAAATGAAAAGAGGTGGGAAAGGGATATAGAGAAAAGGGTCCTTGGTATCAAGACACCTAATTTCAAATCCCAGCTATACCCTTTTAAGTAAGCGACCACAGCCAAACTACTTAGCTTCTCCATGCCTCAGTTTTCTTACCTATAAAACAGGTGAAGTATTTATCCTTGCCTCAAAGGTGACTAAGGAGATTAAATGAGAAGGTATGTGTGAGAGCCCTCAGCACAGGACGTGGCACATAGTAGACCCAATAAGGATTAGCGAATGAGTGAGGAGTGTGCAATGGCAGAAAGTAGACTGATGAGAGTGAGTATGGCCCCATGGAAAGTTCCAGATGGATTTCTTAATGCACAGCTAAAGAGCTCGCTTTCTTTTGTAAGGAGCCAGCATATATTTGCAAAGAATAATTCACAGCAGGGAGAATGTGATTTCTGGCCAGAGGGTAGAGGCTTATGAATCAAGGACACATCTCAGACATGTGGTCCTTATCCTTAGGCCTGGAACATTTGGACTTAATCAAGCCCTTGACAAGATATTTCCAGATAATTGAGAATAAGATAAAAACATATGAGCTGGATTAAGTGACACAGGTCGAATTGTCTTTTGGTGCTCCCTCCAGCTTTTAAGCTGTGCTGTCTGTCAATTTTGCTAGGGTAGAGGACTGAGTGGGAGCTTTGCATTCATTCCTGAGTTCCAATCCCAGCTCAGCCTCTTCATAACTTCGTGGCCCTGGGAAGCAGTTTAATGCTAGTCATCTGTAAAACAGGAAAAAGAATACCTCAGGGAGGTGTTTGAGGAGTAAACAAGGGTATACAGGGGACCAGAACTATAGGGGCAATGACTATCCTCTTGAGATATGTCTTGCTTTGGCCACTAATTTGAACTCAAAGCAACTGAGTGCTCCTTCCCTACCCTGGCCTCCTTTTACCTGTAGTTATTCTACCTTTTCCAGGTTAGAGATCATCATCCATGAGAGAGAAGCCTGAATTAGAATAGGGGCTGATGAGTTCTGCTTTTCTCTGCCGTCTGTGAACCCATCACGTTTAAGGAAGCTTTCAAGCCAGGCAGCATTGTTCTTTCCATGTGGTTTTGGCTCTAAGAAAGGCTAACTTGGCTATCCTTGGCCTTTTCCTCAAGTCTTGGCCCATTCAGCGATTTCACATCCTTGAGTCTCTTCTTCCATGCCACTCTTTGTGCTGTCCCTGGGTATATCTTCACTCTGTGGAATTTAACATCTTGTACGGTCCTTTGAGTTCCCTGGGGGGCTCAGCGAACATTCACTGAGCTTTCTCTAGACCAGAGTTATTCAAAATGGCGGGTCACAAAACCCATGTAGAAGATCGTGACCAGCATTTTCCAATAAATGAGGTCGAATTGAATAAAAAAGTTAAGAATGTGTCACACGTACCAGGGTGACAATTCTTTTGTGAACCTTGTTTCAGATGTGTGTGGTGTGGGTGTGTGGTGTGTGTTTCTACTACGTAAAATGCGTTTCCTAATGTGGGTCTCAGTCTGAAAAGTTCGCAAGCCACTGCTGCGTCACTTTACCTTTATTTCTTTATTGTGAACTATTGTGATTATAACGTCAGATTTCCATTATTGAAATACCTTTTAGTTTCTCAGGTCGTGGGGCAGATCTCAACTTTTCTTTGAAGTCTGCTTTCTAAGTTCATGTCCATGATTCTGGGAACCACCATCTCCTTGCAGGCCAGGCCTTCCTCATCTCTGGGTGTCTAGCAGCCAGTCCGGAGGTTGTCTGCTCTGGTTGTGCATCGGGATGAACTGTGGAGCTTTAACACAGCCCATCACTGGACTCCACTCCCAGCCTTATAGGTCAGACCCTCTTAGAAGTTGGAATTGATGGCCAATGGCATGGGAGGAGGAACATGCTACATTTTTCTTCTGAATGAATGGATGAAAGATCAATCACCCCCAAATTCCTATCATTTAGTAGCATGTTGGTAAGAATTTTATCCAGATTGCCCATTCTCCTCTAGCCCATCCTCCTCCTTCTGTGAGACTAAATTATCAGTGAGGCAAGTTAAGGATTTCTCAGCCTTTCTATCTTTAGCCATTAAATAAGTTTTCTAAGGATTCTTGGAAAATTGTCACTACTCACTATGAGTATATTGTATCACTAGTTCTCCAGAAAATGTTTATTGTTTAAATCTCTTGGCTGTGCTGACGTTGTGGTCCATTTCTTTCAAATGCCTCATCAATAGGTTTTCTCTGCCCAGGCATCCTGCTGTTACTTCCCTCTCACATCTGTGCTTTTTTCCTTTGTCCTTCACTCAAATGTCCCCACAATGTTGATGCACTCAGATTTAATAAGTTGCTTTTGTGTGTGTGAAATGCCTTTTATATGCTGGCCTTGGGTATGATTTTCTGAAGTTATAAATCCTGTGAGCACACCTGCATTTTTCAAGTCACATACCAGAAAGCAGATGCCCAGTCCAGGCTTTGGACCCACACTGGGCAGATGGGCAGGAGGCCCATCTGTTGGCAGGCCTAAAACATCAATGGAATAAATTGGAACCTTGTTGCTCTTTAACCCCAATTTCCACACAGGACCCTTACCCGGCTGATGAAACAGTTCCTGTTCCTACCAAAGTGCACAGAGCTCTGGAGAGGACACTGCATATCCTATTTGTGTATCTCTCCATCTCTGCTGAATAAATAGTAACTGTTGTGCCCAGAGGCCCGGGTGTCTTGCTCTGGCCTTGCCTGGTAGAGCTGCCAGGTTCCAGGCACCATCAACCCTGGGGTTGAAACCCAGGCAAAGTACGGTTAAGGAGAACGTTATTGGCTGCTTCCCTTTGCAACTTAATTATAATTTCTGAGTAGTCTTATTCTTTTTTTCTCCCCCAGAACACGACTTAACGCTTTCCGGGAAGTAGACCCAGTAGAACTTCCTAACTGTAATTTAGTTAAAGGAATAGGTGAGTACGAGAGAGGAGGAAGTATCTCACTTGAACTTGCAGTATTGTCTTGCTGTTTGTTTGATTACTACACCTGTTTAATTTTGTTCAAAAATAACACTGTGAACCAGGAGAGTATTAAGTCAGTGGTTAATTATAAATACCAAGGTACTTGACTTTTGACTTCACCAAGTTATTGCCAAGGCATTAACAATTTTTTGATTGTTTGTTTTCATTTGATCAGTTTAGCAATACCAATAGTCAGAACAATATTTGATTTTACAGTCATGTGACCCTAGGAGATGGCAGATGAGGGACAGAAGAGGGAGAAAAAGCAGTGAGAAGAGGGTAAATTTTTTAACAGCCCTCACACACCTTTGCAGTTACCACAAGGCTTCTCCTCATGCATCTCTCTTTTAATATCAGGGAGGAAAATTTTCCCAGACGCTCTCAGCAGATTTCCCCTTAGATCTCATTAGTCAGAACCAGACAGCAGTCTGGAGACCTAGCTGCAAAGGAAGCTGGGAAAGTAATCCTTGATCCTCCATTGTGGGAGGCAGGCTCTGTCAGCAAACATAAAAGGGGGAGGGAGAATAGCCCTGGTAGGCAACCAACAGGGAGACACCAGGCCCCATCTGGTTTCAACCAACCAGCTTTGTTATTTGAGGACAACTTGTTTGAGGTCCACGCCTTTGTTGTGTTTTGGTGGTTGTTTTTAAGAATTATTTATCTCAGTTGACTAAGGTTGGTAAGGCTAGACTTGATGACTTATTCAGTTAGCATCAGTAAGCTTGGCCAGATAGTTTAATAGTGCAATTTTTTTCTAGAAAACAAATATGATATAGATTTTAAATATCACTGGATATTTGAAAAACAAACATCTCTGATGAGAGTAGCAATACAAAATCAAAAATCTCATTTGTCTCTAGATTGGTTGAAATTTTTAAAATTTACATGTGCTTAAAGTATAACTAACTTGGTGATATTTTAACTGACGTTTATAATTAATAGTAAATGCATATTCTGCATATGAAATGTATCCCTATTTTAACTGAAGCATTTGGAATGTGCTTATATTTCCAACATGGTTTTCAAAGAATTTATTTGATTTGGAACTATTAAGTATCAATATATATTGGTAGTTAACTCTGTCTTTCAAAAAAACAGCAAACTCTTTTCAAATTGTCATACCTTTAGTGCATTTTGTGAACTTCCATGAACTTTATGTGAGAGATTTCAGCCTCTGAGGAAAAAGTTCTCATCCACCAATTTAAAACAAATATATTAAGTGTAAATTTTATTACACTTACTTATATTAATGTCTTTTAATTTATATATAATCACATTAGTCAGTTTGAATAAATAAATGAAAGAATGAATTATTCTGAACCTATCAAAAAAGAGCTAAATATGCAGCCGCATTTTCAAGTTAGGAGTGATATAGAAGTGAATCACTAGCTTCCAGGAGAGCCTGAAACAATCTGTGCTGTGTATCCTCTTTTCCGGCAGAGGCTGGCTCTGAAGACTTGGAGATCCTTCCTAACGGACTGGCTTTCATTAGCTCCGTAAGTGTTTTCTTTTATTTACTGTGCTCGAGACCATTTTCTAGGACTGGCAGCTTAAGTCTTTTGTTTAAGCCTCCTGTATACTGATGCCCACCTTCAAATAAAATGAGCAGTCATATAGTTTAAAAAACAAACTGTGTGTGCCTTTTCACTGGTGATCTAGTTACGATCCTGTGTGTTCCATGTGTATGTGTATTCCTGTGGGTACACTGAACTCTTATATTACTTTATCTTCCATTGTAGCAATTTGTGAGCCCAGTGAGTTTAAGAATGGCTTTCCATTCAACTGTCTATCCCTTGAAGCACTTAAGTGATGTACTCAAATATTTGCTGAGTTGAGTGTGTGTTTATATATATTCCCTCTTATGTCATTTCAATTTTTACCTTTTTTTTTACACTTTTCAGAATAAGCCCTTTAATTTAACATTGTTGATAAGTCATTCCACAATTTCCAGTCTTTGAAGAGAGAAGCCACCATGTTTGCTGAATCTCTGCTGTATACAAATCACCGTGGTGGTGACATAGCTCAAAACAAAAGAGGTCAACTATCTAGTCTAGGATGACAGAGTTGATAGGATATAGTACAGAAGTCATCCAGCCACTGAAAACCCTTAGCTGCCTATTGTAATTTATTTAGTCCTGTCTTCTCTTATGAGAATGGGGGACTAGTCATCCTCTACAGTAGCATCTTGCAAATCTTTTTTTAAAGCAACATTATACATATTTCAAGCAAAATCTTATCTGGGACCCAATATCTAAAATAAATAACAGCTGTGTTCTTCTCATTGAAGGCTGAGAAAGGAGTTGTTCCCTGGGCTCACTAGACTTCCTCTTAACCTCTGTCCCTGAGATGCCTCCAAGGAACCCACCAGGGGACAGTTTGAAAACTATAATCAATGTTCTCTCCATATTCCTTGCTTGTATTATTAACGCCCATTGGTCAATGCCCCTTTGGTCTGCTCTTCCGTTTTCGATCTTTCTCGTGCATTGGTAGCTGTGGTAAGAAACACATGTGGCTTTGCTACTGGGGATGGAAGAGACTGTGCTTGTGCATTGTATGGGGTCAGCTGGTGGAGCCTGTGGCTTCCAGAGCCCTCCATGGGCCTATTACACAAGCCAGCTAAGAGGCTTCCCGTGGCCCGAAGCAGGCAGTGTGAGCCTCTGTGCCATCCACCACCTCCATCAGCATTTGAAGTATCTGTAATGTGCCGGCTTCTTCTCCTCTGTTATTTATAAGGGATTAAAATATCCTGGACTAAAGAGCTTTGAACCTGATAAGCCTGGCAAGATACTTCTGATGGACCTGAACGAAGAAGATCCAACGGTATTGGAATTGAGGATCATTGGAAGTAAATTTGATTTGTCTTCATTTAACCCTCACGGGATTAGCACATTCACAGATGAAGGTAACAATATTTAATGTTTATTAAAAACAAAACCAAAATTTAAAAAAATAACAGGAAAAATGTTAACAAAGGAATTTTTTTTTCATCCAAATAAACTATAATCATAAATAATATTCTTATTCTGGGTTTTAACCTTACCACCTATGTTAGTTAAATATAGTATTATAACCACTTAAATGCTTGAGAAAGCTAAAATATTTAAGATTTGTAAAGCACCTAATTTTTAAAAATACCAACATTCACATTATCCCTGTAATTACTATAGTAATAATACTCAATCCTAATAATTATGGATTTTTTCATTTTAAATAATTTTACAGATCCAGGCATTTACGGAAATAGATTTTTCTAACGTAAGGCATCTGCAACCTGTAGATCCACTGACAGAAAGTCACGTGGTCAGCTTTCTCTCAGCCCCGTCCCCTTCAGTGCCTCCTGTCCACTGGTTCCTCTGTTTTGTCTTCAAACTGCCTCTCCACATTTTAATAACATATTAACTCTCTTTTGACTTCATCCCATTGCTTCCTTTCTTTTTGCAGCCATTTCCTTGGTCTCTACATTAATTCTCAACCCCAGTTGCACACAGAAGCACCTAGGGAGTTTCAAAAAGCCTGATGCCCAGGCCCCCGCCCCAAATCTTTTGACTTAGTCAGTCTGAGGGAGGCCTGGGTGGCAGTGCTTGGTGAAAGTTCTCCAAGTGGTAAAAATGTAAGGCGAGGGTGAGAACCACGTCTGTACCTATGGCCTCCTCCTCCTCATCAGCCCGTCCCTCCTTCAGGCCTTCTTCCAGGCTTTCCCCATTGTGGACAGCTAGAATTGCTGCCTTCAACGTCATCAGCAACGTCCTCATTAACTAACTCTCCCTCTCTTCCAACTCTCCCTCTCCTCCTCTCCTGCCTGCCTCCCCTCCTCCCCTTGGCTATCCTTCCTTCCTTCCTTTCTCTCCTCCCCCTTCCTTCCCATCTCTCCCCTCCTTCCTTTCTCCACCTCATTTTACGTTCTTGACCACTTTCTCCTTCCAGTCGGTCACTCCTCCCTGATGGTCCAGTACACTTCTCTGTCCTCGTTCTGATCCTACTGCAGGGTTTCTCCCCCTGCTCATCACTGTGTCACTCATTTCGAATTCCCTGAGCATTCTCCAAAGGGGAGTTCCCCACAGGACTGACCTTTTGCTTCCTTTTTATTTTCTCCATTTCAGAAACTTCAACTATGTCACAACTATAACTGCACCTGCTTTCTCAGAGAACACTCCCAAATGTGGAGTATTCTTTTTTTTGTCTTTTTAATAAGCTCTTGAGTTCCATTCCTTCAGCTTATTAGATACTTCTATTTGGGTTCCTCTCCTATAACCACTTTAAACTCAAAATGTCAGAAAACGATTTTCCATCCTTTTATCTTCGTTTCTTCACCTCTATTCCGTATGACTTCCCTTCTTTTATACATATATATATGTGTGTGTGTGTATATATATATAAATTCCCTTTCAGTGTTCTCTCCACCCATGTATCAACATTATATTTTCTTTTGAAGACATTTCTAAGTGCAAAGAAATATAATGTTGGGTGTATGTACACATTTAAAAATAAAAATGGGGTAATATTACATAAATACTACACAAACCTTTCTTTAAATTGCTTTTGCGTTAAACACTACATCATGGACTCCTTTCTATGACAGTGCGTTTGGAGCTACTTTGCAATGGCTGCTTAGCATTCAGTTGTGTGGGAGTACCGTAATATAGTTCATCTCTTGATGGATATTCAGTCTGTTCCCACCTTTATGCTCCTTGCAAACAATGCCAAAATAAACATTCCTGTACATATATCTTCTGTGAATATTTCCTTAGGATAAATTGCTAAAGGTACAATATGCTGCACAAACACGAATCCAGGTTTTGATCCTCACTTATGTTTGATTTCCAACTCCCTCATTCCTTAGCCATCATCAGGGGTTTTTGATACTTCCTGTCAAATGCCTCTCATATCCTGTCCTGCCTTTTCTTGTCAATGCCATCCTCCTGGTCCAGTCCTTTCTCTCCACACGTCTAGATTACTGCTGTAGCCTCAGGTCATGTTACTCCTTGGCTCAAAGCCCCCAGTGAGTAAACCCTGGATCCTTATCCTAAGCCCTAACAAGACTGGCCTTGGCTCCCTACCCCGATGGCTTCAGCTCTCCCACTCTTTCTTGCACTCACTCTCCTCCAACCACAACCTCACTATCAAGTGAATGTGCCAAGGAAACTCCCTGCCTCAGGCCCTTTGCACACTCTCTTCCCTCAGCCTGGAATGCTCTTTCCTCAGATGGTTACAAGTTAGGTCTCTTATTTCATTTAGGTCTCTGCTTTAATATCGTTTCATCAGAGAGAACTTCTCTGTCTCCCATGAAGAAAACATCATTCCTTTCCATCCCTCTATTCCATTTTATTTTCCCTTTGTATCACTTAACACCAACTCAAATAAATTAAACACTTGTGTGTTGAATGGACTTAATGATGAGCCTCTTAGCTGGCTTCTCTGTTCAAATCTCTTCAGTTCAACCTACTAAACTTTGCATTGTTTTCCTTTAAACACCAATTTGGTCAAGTCAAAGTCTTCTAGAGACTTACTGCTTCTTAAGGCCAAGACTACAATCTAACTTCACTTGCCGTCACACCTTCTTGACCACTTACACTGGCCTCTTTCAAGTCCCCAAGTCCCACTGACTCACGGAAGCTGCTTCCCTTTATACTGTCTCTCAGGCGTTCATCTTATGGAATTCATGATCTCACACTGTGTAAATTATAGCTGAGCACACCTTCTCACATTGGTATTTCCCACCTCTTTTATCTCTTTTATCTCAACTCTGCGTCTCCCTGAGACCATTTGCAATAGAAAATTTAACAAGCTCTTTCAAGTTTTAGTGTCAAGCACCGCTCCTTCTTAAGTTGAGGAGTTTTTCCCCCTGTGGAGTTTGGAGTTTTAGAGACTGTCACTCGTTCTTCCGTTAGCCATTTTTCTTTGGAGCAATCGCAAATGTTTCTCTCTACAAAGAGATGAAAATATTCCATCTGCCTGACACTCTAAGTCCTAGTTGGAGGTGGGTTGAAATTGCTTTTTGGAGACAGGACTGACAGCTGAGAGCTCAGTTAATGTTTCAATTTTTGTTTTTAATCTCTTCTCAGATGATACTGTGTACCTGCTGGTGGTGAACCATCCAGATTTGAAGTCCACAGTTGAGTTGTTTCAATTTCAAGAAGAAGAAAAATCACTTTTGCATCTGAAAACCATCAGACACAAACTTCTGCCTAAGTACTGAGATAGATCATGTTTGCATTTTCCTTGAACACCAGTGGATGGATAATCCACTTTTAGTTGTTCCTGTTGGCCTGTGGGTCAGGGGGATAATGGCTCCTTTCTAACCATCACAAACTCCTCCTAATGTTCTTCTGCAGAAACTTCTGAGGACTCAAGTCCCTCAGAGAAGATCCATCTATTCTCCCCTCATTTCCCCCGCTGGCTAGATGCTGGCTTATGGCTCCTGCCTTCAGAATGTCTGTCTGAGCTTTATCAAGAAAAAACTCTACTTTTCTCCAAAACCAGACTTAGTATTTCAAACACAAACCAGTTTCATAGATGAATTCCACATCTTGAGCTTATTTATTTGTTATTTATTTTCATAAAAAATAGAATCTTAGATGTTTCTATTAATTAGAAATTCATCCCTAGAGGACATCTGAAATCTGGTGCCTCTAAGACCTCCCTGTCCTGCCTCTACTGCTGTTTGGTTGCACACAATTTATGAAATAGCAGATCTGTAGTAACACTCAGCTCCATGCTAGGCCTCTTGATGATATCACATGTGAAGAAAGAAAACACCCAGGGATCCCTGATCCCTGTCAACCCAACACAAAGTCAATTTTCTGGCTTTCCTCAGGATTTGGTTTATGAGGCTAGTGATGGATTTAGGACAATAATCTGACACTATCTTCCCAACAATTTTTATCCTCTAATCATTATGATTTTCTAGAATTCCAACGTCTATTTGAATAATTTACGTACAGCATGCAAACGCCCCAATATTTGTAAATCTAGATTTCTTTTGAACCCTGTGTTATTTACATGCAGGTACCTAGCAAAGCGCCTGGCACGTACGTAGTGTGCGCTCAGAGGGCCCCTTCCTCTCCTTTCCTACCTGGTGGTTTTGAAGATGAGGAACTGAGACTGGAAAGAAATTGAGTTGCTGGGTGAAGGTCAATCAACCCAGTAGTAGCCGAGTAGGAACTCTGGCCCAGGGCTGCTTCTTCATCTTTGGGATGAGTGACTGTTTAGAGAGCCGCTTTTGATGGGAGAGTTTATTCACACATTTATTCCACAAATATATTTTGGAAAGAGAATGAGAACACTGAGTGTCTGGAGAATGTTTCAAATACCAAGATCTAAATGAGGGAAAAGTATGTAGAATGGAGAAGCTGGACTAGTGATAATAATAGTTATAACAACTACTTAATGAGGTTTGACTGTAGGTTAGGTGCTGCAATAACCAATTTAAACAGATTATTCTATTAACTTTTTACAAATATCCTCTTAATTAGGTTTTATTATTATACCATTTTGGATTAAAAAAAATTTGAGACCTGGAGTAGTTAACTTGCCCCAGATGACACCACCAGTAAATGGTTGAGCTGGGATTTTAATCCTGGTAGCATGAGCCTGGAGCTGATGCTCTGAGCTACTATGAAATAGTGAAAACTTATTTTATTTGTGTCATCATTTAATCTTGGAAATCTCAGATATGTCCAATTTCTCAGGGTTAGAGTATATTTTTCTGGGTCAATTGCAAAAATATTGGTCTTTGGCAATATAGAACCAAACTGAAAATAACCATAGTGCCATAATTAATTAAAATTCTGCTCTCAATGCATACACTAGCCACATATACTTTCTGCTTTGTATTTGATGGTTGTTTATATGATTGTTTATAGCGTTAATATTGGAATTACTAAATCTATTATAATTGAAGCATGTTGTTATTGATGATAACACAATGGTCATTTTGGTCATTTACTAGATACCAGGCATGGTGCCAAGGTCTTTGCATTCATTCCTGGAGTGTATTCTCACCCTAACCTTTCAAGGTATAGAGAGGAAACTGAGGCTCACAATTTAGTGACATGCTGTGGCCCCACAGACAACAGCAAGCAACGTCAGAATTCAAATGAAGCCCATCAGATTTCAAAGCTATTAATCTAAACTCTTTCTTTCTACTCCTTTTTTTTGAAAAATAGGCAAATGATTGTAAAGCATACTAAGTGTAAAAATTTACTTTTAAAAAAGAGAGAAAGAGAAAAACCAGCTTGCAAAGTTATGCCTGGAGCCTGTACAGACGAATCCTAAATTCCTTGACCTTTTTTCTCATGTGGTAATAGTGGCTCCCACTGACTGCGGGCCTAGTGAGTGGCAGCTCCCTGCAGAGCACGCAACAGACATCACTTCGTTGTCATTCCACTGCAACCCCACAAATTAAGATTCGGACCTTAGCCTCACAGTAATGAGTTGCATGACTGGGGGAAAATCATTTAATCTCTCTTTACAGATGAGAAAACTGAGGCTCTGTGTGCTTATCCAACTCACCCAGGAACCCAGAGCTGCATCAGAGCTGATGTGCTGGCTGTTATGCCCTCACATGAGAGCTGAGATCATTCTCTCCCGGATGATGGCCCAGGGGAACTTCTGTCACCTCAATCAGCAAAGAATGACTCACTTATGTGCTCGATGTTGTACCTGTTAAAGTAGAAAAATAGACTCATATATCTTAGATTTTCAGTAACATAGAATCAAAATCAGAAAGAAAAAAGGCCATAGCATCCTATTTCTGAGTATTCTCGTCCATGAGCAGTTTACTCAGTTTAGAATCATGAAACTTCAAGACCGGAAGCGACCTTTAAGCTGAAAGATAGACCAGTCCGTCTCATCCTCCTTTTACAGATAAGGAAACTGAGGCCCTGACATGAAATAGCTGACTTTCCCTAAATCACACAGCTAATAGTAGCAGAGCTTTAACTAAGATGCGAGTCTCAAGATTGCCAGCGTTTTTTCCACTGCCTGATGGTAACTTGGACTGTTTAATATGAGCATAAATAAATTTTGCCCTGATAATGATTCCTAGCCTAATTTAGTGTCTACTGAATTTAGTATATCTACACACACACATGCAGGCACACACACACACACACACACACACCCCATAGCACTATTTTTAAAAAATAATTAATAGGACTTTTACGTTATATTGCTGTAATAACCTCTTAGGGTTTCTTAGAGTAATTATTGTCTTTGTAGATTGTATAGATGGGGCTGACTTCATATTAATTCTGTGCCATAACAGCTAGAGTGAAGGCTCCATCTCACATCTTAATTTTAGGACTAGACATTAGTGAACAGCAGTGCATAACTCTCCAATGTACAATACCCTCATAGACCTGTATATATCACATATGTGTGTTCGTATTGCAGCATGAATGATATTGTCGCCGTGGGACCTGAACACTTCTATGCCACAAATGATCACTATTTTGTTGACCCCTACTTGAAATCCTGGGAAGTATATTTGGGTTTAGCATGGTCATATGTTGTTTACTATAGTCCAAATGATGTTCAAGTGGTGGCAGACGGATTTGATTTTGCTAATGGAATCAACATTTCACCTGATGGCAAGTATGTGAACTCTAAAATGTCATGCATTTCCCCAGATTCTCATAAGATCTCTTTAGAACATATTCCTTTTCTAAATAATGTGATACATTTTAACATGTTCTCCTAGTAAGAGAAAAATAGGAAAAATGTAAAATGTCTTAATTTTCCACGGGGTAAAATTTATCAAATCAAAATTTTCTATTTTATGCGGGTATATTTATTTAATTTCTTTTTTGGTGAAAAAAAGTACATTTCAAGAGGGTGAATAAATGTTTAGTATTACTAAATAATACTGTGATAAACATTTAGTATTACTAAATAGCTTTGCTTTGAGGGAATATTTTTGAGTATATAATGAGATTAGCAGTATTAGGCATATATATATATCTGTAGTGCTAGTTTGTGATAAGATAAAGAGCTTGCACCAAAATGTAAATCAAGGCACACTTCCTTCATCAAGAGTGTGTTACTACAGGGGAAAAATAAGTCAATTTAAGCAGCGTGCTTAATGATGTGGCTGATTTACATTACTATCTGCTAGCAGCCCTGAAACAAACAATTCACAGAGCAGCATTGGTCTGGGGACCACACTTCGGGTAGCATTGGTCTATATATAAAATCTGTGTTTCCATCCATCTATACCCTTCCTCATCTTATATCACCAAGGATTTCAGAGGGTTAGTAACATATTTACAGAAAGCAACATGGACAGCTTTCAATTATTCATGTTATCTCCTGATCTTCAAAAACAGCAGAGAATCAAGCAGTCATTTCTCTCTTTGTTCTGGGATGCATTGTGCATAGACTGAGCACGGATCTTCACGATGAGTGTGGTGTTGCTCTGTGTGCAGAGTACTAAATCCACAGGGTCAAGACCACACTCAGGGTAGGAGGCGAGGAAGACTTCTCTCAGATCCAGGCCAAGCATCTTGTCTTCTCTCATACTTTCTCTGGACTAAAACAAGAGGCTGGTTGTCAAAGGGCTTTCCTGCAGCCTGCCTGAGAGAACTCACGGATCCCCTGAAATGCAGAACCTGGGGCTTGCCACTATACTGACAACCAAGAGAAGCACTGGAATGCTTTTGCTCCCAGATATTAAGGGCTGGTGTATGGGCTAAGTTCTGTCCCTATCGATCAGGGCCAGCTATTTAGAAATAACTTTTCAGAGATTAAAACTCCTTACTACACTGTAAACTCATTGAGTTCTTTCAGAGTTTGGTGTTCTTTGAGATGGGTTCCATTTTCCAGTCTCTAAGCAAAGTTCTTCCCTAGGAAGTTATTACGACTTCGTGGTAACCTTTTGAATCACATTTCTTCAAGCACTCTGATGTGGCTCTTTCTTCTTTGAAGGTATGTCTATGTAGCTGAATCGCTGGCTCATAAGATTCATGTGTATGAAAAGCACACTAATTGGACTTTAACTCCATTGAAGGTAAGACGTATTAACACTATAAGTTTGCAGAATGATAATTAGATTCTAATTGATTTGTGAAATTAAAAGTGAGGAAAAAAAGATTGTCTAATTGGAGAAGGTGAGAACCAATTTTTCACTCCTTTGTTAAGAGTCATCAGCATCGTATGTGTTTGTTGTTCATTTTCGCTCAGCTGCAGGGTGGGAAGCAGCAGACCACACATCTCACCTATGAAACTCGGATTCTTTCTGCTCTAGTGAATTTTTTTTATTGGTGTCATAATAGTTTATAACATTGTGAGATTCCAATTGTACATTATTATTTGTCAGTCACCATGTAAAGGCGACCCTTCACCCCTCGTGCCCACCCCCTACTCCCTTCCCCCTGGTAAACACCAAACTGTTCTCTCTGTCCGTGTGTTAGTTTATATTCCACATATGCGAGAGGTCATACAATGTTTGTCTTTCTCTGTCTGGCTTATTTCACTTAACCTAATATCCTCCAGGTCCATCCATGTTGCTGCAAATGGGATGATTTTGTCTTTTTATGGCTGAGTAGTATTCCATTGTATATGTATACCACATCTTCTTTATCCAATCATCTGTTGATGGACACTTGGGTTGCTTCCACATCTTCGCTATAGTGAATAATGCTTCAATGAACATAGGGGTGCATAAGCCTCTTTGGATTGTTGATTTCAAGTTCTTTGGATAAATACCCAGAGTTGGGATAGCTGGATCATAAGGTATTTCTATGTTTAATTTTTTGAGGAATCTCCATACTGTTTTCCATAGAGGCTGCACCAGTTTGCAATCCCACCAGCAGTGAATGAGGGTTCCCTTTTCTCCACATCCTCTCCAACATTTGTTATTTTTTGTCTTGGTGATTATATCCATTTGCACAGGTGTAAGGTGATACCTTAGTGTAGTTTCGATTTGCATTTCCCTGATGATTAGTGATGTTGAACACTTTTCATGTGCCTATTGGCCATCTGTATATCTTCCTTGGAAAAATGTCTGTTCATATCCTCTGCTCATTTTTTGATCGGGTTATTGTTTTTTTGTTGTTCAGATGTGTGAGTTCTTTATTTATTATGGAGATTAACCCCTTGTCAGATATATGGTTTGTAAATATTTTCTCCCAGCTGATGGGTTGTCTTTTCATTTTGATCCTGGTTTCATTTGCCTTGCAGAAGCTCTTTAGTCTGATGAAATCCCACTTGTTTATTTTTTCTTTTGTTTCCCTTGTCCGAGTAGACATGGAATTCGAGAAGATCCCTTTATGACCAATGACAAATAGTGTACTGCCTACATTTTCTTCCAGGAGTTTTATAGTTTCAGGTCTCACCTTCAGCTCTTTGATCCGTTTTGAGTTAACTTTTGTGTATGGGGAAAGTAGATGGTCTACTTTCATTCTTTTGCAAGTGGCTGTCCAGTTTTCCCAACACAATTTATTGAAGAGATTTTCCTTTCTCCATTGTATGTTCTTTGCTCTTTTGTTGAAGATTAGCTGTCCGTATACGTGTGGTTTTATTTCTGGGGTTTCAATTCTGTTCCATTGATCTATGTGTCTGTTTTTGTACCAGTACCACGCTGTTTTGATTACTATCACTTTGTAGTATGTTTTGAAGTCAGGGATTGCGATGCCTCCAGCTTTCTTCTTTTTTCTCAGTATTGCTTTAGCTATTCAGGGTCTTTTGTTGCCCCATATGAATTTTAGGATTGTTTGTTCTATTACCGTGAAGAACGTCATTGGGATTCTGATTGGGATTGCATTGACTCAGTAGATTGTTTTAGGTAGTATAGACATTTTAACTATGTTTATTCTTCCAATCCATGTGCATGGGATATCTTTCCATTTCTTTATGTCATCATCGATTTCTTGCAATAATGTCTTATAATTTTCATTGTATAGGTTTTTCACCTCCTTGGTTAAACTTATTCCTAGATATTTTATTCTTCTTGTTGCTATTGTAAATGGGATTGTATTCTTGAGTTCTCTTTTTGTTAGTTCATTGTTAGATATAGAAATGCAACGGATTTTTGTAAGTTGATTTTGTACCCTGCAACTTGACTGTAGTTGTTGATTATTTCTAATAGTTTTCTGATGGATTCTTTAGGGTTTTCTATATATAAAGTCATGTCATCTGCAAACAGCGAGAATTTCACTTCTTCATTGCCTATTTGGATTCCTGTTATTCCTTTTACTTGCCTAATTGCTCTGGCCAGAACTTCCAACACTATGTTGAATAACAGTGGCGAGAGTAGGCACCCTTGTCTTGTTCCTGTTCTCAGAGGGATGACTTTCAGTTTTTCCCCGTTGAGTATGATGTTGGCTGTGTGTTTGTTATACGTGGCCTTTATCATGTTTAGGTACTTTCTTTCTATACCCATTTTATTGAGAGTTTTTATCATAAATGGATGTTTGATCTTGTCAAATGCTTTCTTTGCATCTATTGAGATGATCACGTGGTTTTTATTCCTTGTTTTGTTAATGTGGTGCATCACATTGATTGATTTGCAGATGTTAAACCATCCCTGTGTCCCTGGTATAAATCCCACTTGATTGTGGTGTATGATCTTCCTAATGTATTGCCGTACTCGGTTTGCCAATATTTTGTTGAGGATTTTTACATCTATGTTCATGAGCAATATTAGCCTGTAATTTTCCTTCTTTGTATTTTCCTTGTCTGGCTTTGGTATCAGGGTGATGTTGGCCTCATAGAATATGTTAGGAAGTGTTCCATCTTCCTCCATTTTTTGGAATAGTTTGAGAAGGATAGATATTAGATCTTCTTTGAATGTTTGGTAAAATCCTCCAGAGAAGCCATCTGGTCCTGGACTTTTATTTTTTGGGAGGTTTTTGATTACTGTTTCAATCTCTTGTGATTGGTTTATTCAGGTTTTCCCTTTCTTCTTGATTAAATTTTGGAAGGTTTTATGAGTCTAAGGATTTATCCATTTCTTCTAGGTTGTCCAATTTGTTGGAATATAGTTTTTCATAGTATTCTCTTATAATCCTTTGTATTTCTGTGGTATCCATTGTGATTTCTCCTCTTTCATTTCTAATTTTATTTATTTGAGCCTTCTCTCTTTCTTTCTTGGTGAGTCTGACTAAGGGTTTGTCAATTTTGTTTATCTTCTCAAAGAACCAGCTTTTTGTTTCATT